AACGTCAACAAGACCAAATCGTTGGATATCAACCCGGGCAACCCTTCCAACTTTACGGTAGCGGGGCAAGCAGTGGAGAAGGTTGAAAGTTTCCAATATCTTGGCAGCCAAATAGCGTCGGACGGCGGGACCAAGAGCGACATAGTTTAATGTTTTTACATTCACTGCGGCTTTCGGATGAAGAACGCGTGTACCTCGTTAGGTGTCAAAAATACAATTGATTTATTTTAAGTCATAATTCCTGCTCGAAGATACTTGGACATATTTTAAGTATATAAAGAACGCCAATCAGCGTGCAGTGATGAATGAGAAAAAAGAGAGAGAGAGTGTATGGAGAAGGCATATTGAGCATATCGTTAGCACACGTATTTCAAGGTTGATTGGGTCGCATCGGATATTGCCCTTTGCGCTGTGTAAGCAATTTGGATGTGGGAATTTATATTTTCCCAGGTGATTGAAAATGCACTCGCAGTGAATGTGCAGTAACTTAATATTTTCTGATTAATTGAAAGTAGCTGATAGGTATAATTTGGTATGCTACAATAGGTGCACGAATCAAGAAGGCTGGGGCTGCCTTTGCGAGTTTACGAAACGTATGGAGATCCAACCAGATAAGTCAACGCACCAAAATCCGAATTTTCAACTCGAACGTGAAATCTGTGTTATACGCCAGCGAGACGTGGTGTGTATCAGCGGAGAACACTCAAAAGCTGCAGGTCTTCATCAACCGATGCCTGCGGTATATAATTCGTGCCTGGTGGCCTCACAACTGGATCTCGAATGCCGAGCTCCATCGTCGATGTCATCAGAAGCCGATAGCAACAGAAATTCGAGAGCGAAAGTGGAGGTGGGTCGGCCACACAGTTCGACGGGGCGGAAACGAAGTCTGCAAGCAAGCGCTGGATTGGAATCCGGCAGGACATCGCAGCAGAGGCAGACCCAGGGGCTCATGGCGGCGGAGCCTCAATAAGGAAATTAAGCAAGTCGATAGGAATCTGACCTGGACCCAGGTCAAGGCAAAAGCGAGCAGCCGCCCAGGATGGAAGTCTTTCACGTTGGCCCTTTGCACCGCTGGTGGTGCACAGGACCCTTAAGTAAATCAAGAGCTAAAGCTCATCGTCTATTATAATTGAATCGAATTTAACCTCGCATTTTGGTAATGAGGCAGCTCTTGCTTCAACTATAGAAGTAGTAAGAGATTCAAGAGCATAATTAATTTCATCTTTGGTTTGCAAAAGAATGTTTGGATCGAAGGTAAATTCCATAAATGTTCGATATTGCTCCCAAAAAATCTATGGTAATTGAAAGCAGAACTGTTGGGATGAGAAATTATTTCTTGGGTTATTTCAAAACTTACTGGAAGGTGATCAAAACTGAATTCAGCATGGGTAATCAATTGGCTACAAAGTTAACATGAATCAGTTAAGACCAAACCAATAGAAATAATTTTCTGTTTGATTCGTCTATGAACAATGATGGCAACGCCACCACCTTCTTCATCAAGACGATCATTTCTATAAATTTTCGTCCCTTTTAACCTTATGGTCAGGTTTAAGGAACGTTTCAGCTTTGACGGCAATATGCACATTATGAACTCTCAAAAAGTTTAATAGCTCGTCTTCATTATCTTTAAGAGATCGAGCATTCCAATTTAAAATTTATAATGCTTTAAAATCCATTACTGAATTTCAAAGTCATGACAATATTGTTCGCAAATTTTACTCCAGTTTGAATAGCATCAAACATGGAGTTAGATTTAAGTATATCAGAAATCATGTCAATTAGTGATTTCTGTAAAAATCCATTTCAGGAGCAGTAATGCTTCCTAAGTCAAAATTTTCAAAATTTCCGTTAGAATTACGTCGGCGGGTATTTTGATTTCTACCCGTTGTAATAGCAGCATTGGTAGCTCCATTAACCCGCTGAACATTGTTAGCAGCGGGGGAGTAGGTATAGATGAAGAACTTGAAGCAGGGGTGATATTTGTACCTACAGGTACGAATGTAGAATTTGTTCCTCGCTGACCGTTGCTATCAGCAGAGGAATTTGTACCTGTGCGGGAACATGGAGCGTTTCCTACCAATCACTTAGAAAGAGTTTGTAGGATCCCAAAAATTGGATTTCTGTTTTTCACCACAATTTGAACATTTAAATTTCGTAGGATCTTCCTTCACAGGGCAGTCATCCTTTGCTTGAGAGGAATCACCACAATTCATGCATTTAGCTGGCATGTAGCAATTTTTAGACCGTGACCCCATCCCTGGCACTTACGGCACTGAGTGAGGTTTTGGAAATTTCCTCCAGTCTTCCTGAAGTGTTCCCACTTCGCTCGGACATGGAGCATAAGGCTAGCTTTTTCCAAGGCCTTAAGGTTGTTTAGTTCACTAGACTTGAAGTGAACTAAATAAAAATCATAAGAAATCCCTTTGCGTGAATTGTCAGGACGGGATTTCATTTTCATTTTGATTACTTGGAGTGGCACAACTCCAAGTAATTTTGAAGTTCATCTTTGATCTGATCCACCACTGGGCAGTCCTTTCATGACAACCTTGAATACACGTTCAGTGTTGGTGTCGTAAGTAAAAAATGTATGCTGCCTCTCAGTAAGATAGGGGAATTTACGTCTTCTCGGCAACCTAAGCATATAGCCTTTTTCTCTAAGGAACGCACACATATGCAGTATTGGTTTATTTACAATCTTTTGCTGCCAGCTGCTCTAACAATTTCTGTCGAAAGAATTATCAAAAACTGTTTTGAAACGCTTTTACAATGCTCCAATCTTCTCTAGTGAGAGCGACTATTGTTGGCAACCTCTTTTTATTCGGCAACCTTTCTATTTGAGCTGCGTGTTAAACAGCTGTGTTTTCATCGGCAACTCGAAATCAGCAGTGCGTGTGTTTCATTTCAAGAAAACCCTGCTAGATTGCTTTTTCTCAGTGGTAAACATATAATCAAATTGAAGCTGAAAGCCTAATGAATAGTTTTAATGCATTCAGCGAAGTGTTTTCTTAAGAAAATCCAGTGAAATTACCGTTTCAATTTGGGTTGCCGAAAATAGTCTGTCATGCCAAAGCCGTCATTTCCCCTACTTGAACAGACATTTGAATCCGTCCAAGGTTTCAGGCAATACACGGCATTCACCCCGACTGTCAATTTGCAGTGAAAACTTAAATTTCACGAAGTTCAAAAGTTCCGTGCAAAGAGCATGGAAATTGGAAGTGGTTATCACAATGGAGGGAATCTTTTTCTTCTTGCCATTAAGCCGGGAAAGCTTACTAGAATATTTCCTGGATGATGGATCATTCTCATAATCCGTGAGCAAATCAAATTGATTGCTCAAATTAATTTCATCAGAAGGGGGATCAATAGTTTACCCTTTTCTTTTGCGCTTAGGCGGCAGTAAATTTATATCCAAATCGACTTCCAAGCAGATTACTATAAGAATTTGAAGGATCGAAGAGGAATTTTCCAAATCGACATCCAAGAAGGATTACCTCGGGTAGGGCCCAAATAAGGATCGAAGAGCAATAAGAGTTGAACAAGGTAGAAATTTTACAGGTTGAGCACTGAAAAGTGCTGTTTAAATTTGTTGTAGCTTTAGGTAGCAGTACCACTTCCTTCAGCAAAAAGCAAATACATCCGCACGGCAAGATAGCACGATGCGGACTGTGAGATGATGACTGTTTATAATCATCATTGTGAACTGATTGACCTGAATATGCCCTCAACAGAATTAAAAATATATTTTAGAACCCTGTGAAGTCATAGAACATATGTCTCAATGTAAATATGTAATCTACGAGATGATTGATTGACGAATAAATGAAATAAATCAATCAAACGAGCAGAAATAGGAACCCTAGCAGCACACTTGTCACTTAATAGTAGTTGTTACTTGTATGCACCTTATTTCAGTCTCAATCAAGTTGCAGCAACCTATTTTGATGGATGTGTGTTGCTTGGGAAGGGATGTCGGTTACGCGCTCGATTAATGTTTAATCGAGTAGCTATAATCTTTACGATTGATCGTTAATCTAATAATTGGACTTTTAGGCATACCTAAAAATAGTGTTATTTCATGTTTCTGATGGTCCTTCGAAAATGTCGAACAGCAGAATTGCAACCAGCAAGAACCAAAAGCGGTGCGATCCTATTTTTCATCGCTATGACAACGACTGAATTAAGGGACTTAGAAGCAGAGGAGTGAACTACTATTTCTACTATGCTCTTCTACCATCCAGAACAACAAACGTATCAATGAATGTGTTGACCGTCGAGTTATTAACGAAACAGAAAGTCAATGAAGATAATCGATCAAAATCAATTGCACCCCTGCTTCCAAGTTTGGTTACAAGATTACAACTCTGAAAAGCTTTTTTTTGGTCGTTGGGGGCGTGTTGTTCTGAATATGGCTATGTGTGTGCAAAATGTTACGCAATTGTATCCTCTTTATTCGCACACGCCCGACGATCGGAGACAAATGCCACCTCAAATTGTTTCGTCTACTAACGACTCTCTGATGACTGTGTTGGGGAAGCAGCATATGCATGTACGTAATTGGTGGATTTGTTAGTTATTTCGACGCTTTTGGACAACTCTTGACATTTACCACTTTTTCAATTGTTTATTTTTTTTCGAAAGTCAACCGTTAGAAGCATTGTTATCGATTGGTGATAAAGCTATTGAAATTGTTCCAGGGGCAGCTGCGCTATTAACGTTCAAAATCTTTCATAATTTCGTTACATGTACAAAGTTTACCCCCATATAGAAATCACAGACGTAGTCCTACGTCAAAATATATAGGGGAAATGCATGTCGATCGCAGATAAACCGTAGAAAAAATATGTTACCTATACACATATTTGATGATCACCACAGGAAAGGAGAAAAATAACCGCGCCAATATAGAGTTGAGTGTAATATGTTGTTTTTGGCGTATTTTGCTTATGTAAGGAAGTAAAACAAACCAATCGCCCACAACTTTTTCCTATTGCACTCACCTGATCATCGGAATCCATCGTATCCGGAATTACATCCGGATTCTTTTCGTCGCTTTCGTTTCCGTCGTATTCCTTACTAGCGACGCTTTTATCACTCGGCCCGGGGGAAGAAGTTCTCACTGTTGTGCTCTGTGCAGTTTCCTTATTTCGTCGACTGCTCGCCCCGCAGGGAAATTTCAATGCCAATACAATGGCGCAGCTCCCAATCAGAACAGCTGCTCCCAAACCGATGGCAATTGACATGGTCGGTGTCAATGGGAGAGGTGCTTTGGGTCGTTCTGCTAGTTGAGTGAAAAACAAAAATGAAAATATTTTTAAACTCCTATAAAATCATTGACCTTGCTAATGTACCTTTCTCTGAGTTCATTTGTTTTTCCGGCAACCTCTGAGTTGCTGCACTGATCACGTACGGTTCGGATTTACCTTTGGAGTTAAAAGCGTACACCGACAGTTGGTACACAGCGCTAGGGTGCAGATTCGGTACTGTGAATCTTGGCACCGGAGAGGTGTTGTTAAAACGCACCTCCTGTGTGTGAGTGTCCCGAAGCTCTAGGAAGAAAGACTGTGCCAGTCCCCCGTTGAACCCTTCAAAACACCTCACGTTTAACGATGTCATGGAAACATTGGCCAAAGTACAGTTGTGCACCTGATCTGGCCGACCTGAAAAGATAAAACAACCAGATGGTTTGAATTGCGTCGAGTTGTTTACTTTGCTAGTACTCTCCCACCCACCCCCTGCGTCAAAAAAAAAGCATTTAGCACAGACAAAATAATCACTCCGGCAAACGCCACAGTAGATAGCACAGCACTGGATATAAACAAGATGCATCCTTGGGTCACAAACAAAGGGGAAAATATGCTTGTGCTGAGTTGTCTTCATTTGTTCAAGGGATAAGAATTTTCTCATACACACTCAAGCTGCATTGAAACGTACCAACAACTCATTTGAGCACGTAGGAAGAAGCAACCCAGATACAATTAGTCCCTTTAGAGTTCCAATTCCATTTTTTTTTGTTAATTCTGGTGCAAGCTTTGTTCTTCTGTGCAGTATGTGTGTCAGACCTTTGACCTTTTATTTGCTCGCAAAAGTTCTTGGTCATATGTTGGATTGTGGACATGAAATGTCTGATACAGAAGAGGTAGTATAATGGACTATGGACCAGACATTGAAATTTAGTGACAAAATCTAAAAAGTGGTTTCAAACCATTCGGTGTTTTTCTACTACCCGATATCAATTCTGGGGTCATACGATGCTTGCAAAAAAGCATGTTCGTACCTTTTTTTTAGTGTACATCCAAATTGATCCAGTAGTTTTCAATCGGATAGTTTTGTAATCTTGTTTTGTTAAGGGTTAATATTCTTTGTTTTAAAATATATATTATTTGAAAAATTAGAAATGCTTCTATTGATTTCATTATTTTTCTTGTAAAAATAACTATTATTTTACATGCACTAGTTAAAAGTGACGATATTCGCAAATAGTCGACTTGAAACCAATCCATGGTAGTAGCCTAGACTTTAATCACCAATAGTTTCTACGGATATCTGCAGATGAAGTAAGCAGTATAATTTTAATCAAGCATATATTTTGAAGCTTTTCATAATTTTCTCCAAAGTTTGTGCATTAAACCATTTTATTCCTTAGCCAAAGTTGGATTTTTGTGCTTCTACATCTACATGAACATATCGAAACTTAATGAAAAACATTATGTTTACCATATTTTTTTATTTAATTTTAATAATTCGAAAATTACAGGCTGTGAAACTTTGGCGCCTTGCTCATTTTTTCAAGATGAACAACTTTTTCCAATACATCATGCTTCCACAATGTTAGAGTAAAAAGTTACCATCTATGCGGACGAGTTACGAACTATCTGCTTACGCCGATATACAGTTTTCAGTATAGCGAGAAACTTATTCGAAGTTAATAAGCCTTGGAAATGCTTCGTTTAAAAGCATTGTTGGCCCACTGTGCAATGCTTGTTGATATTGGAAGCAGTGTTGGAAGTCAAAGGAATAAACATATGTTACACATGACTAATGCTTTGTTCACATAGACGAGTTATAACCATGTTATAAGGCTAACTTGATATATTTTTCTATAATAACAATTATTATAACATGTTATAACTCTGTTATTTGATCAAGGCATAAGTGGAAAAATGGTTCAAGGCAAGTAAAGCATTAAGTATTAAATTAATAACACTTAGCAACTCAACAAAGCAAATTTGACTCTAGAAGCCACTTACACTGAACATATTTTTTCGTTAATTCTCTTTCGCCCGTTTCGTAAAAATAGTTTTCGTAGATTTAACAAATTTTTCGTCCAATGTACCAAACATTCGTATTGCCTATCCTCTGACACAATGCTAATCATCTGCATTATTCGTATAATACACGAACTGAATTTCGTACTGAACAGCTGGCTGCTACTCTTCTCGCCTTCTCGCTCATTCACATTTCTGTTGTTCCTGTTGCTGATGGCGGTGATATGATGGTTGCAGGTGTAATTTCAATGGAGGACCAGAGGAAAATGACTAAGCACAGAAGTGAATGGAGGCTGGTCGCCAATTATGTAAAGTGATGAAGCAATTGATATTTGTAAGATTTTGCCCCGTTGATAATACGGAAGACCAAATTATTAATTCAATTCAGTCCGCATCGTGCTCTCTTGCCGTGCGGATCTATTTGCTTTTTGCTGAAGGAAGTGTTACTACCTAAAGCTACAACAAATTTAAACAGCACTTTTCAGTGCTCAACTTGTAAAATTTCTACCTTGTTGTACTCTTATTCCTCTTCGATCCTTATTTGGGCCCTACCCGAGGTAATCCTTCTTGGATATCGATTTGGAAAATTCCTCTTCGATCCTTCAGATTCTTATAGTAATCTACTTGGAAGTCGATTTGGATAAAAAAAAATACTGCCTAAGCGCAAAAGAATACGGCAATCTCTTGATCCTCCTTCTGATGAAATTAATTTGAACAATCAATTTGATTTGCTCACGGATTATGAGAATTTATTTCCATTTCGACAAGCCAGTGTAGACTACATACAATGATTATTACAATGTTTACTTACATACTATGCATTAATTCTATTCTGTTTTAGCTTAGTTTGTATTTGCTGCTTAGACATAGTGATGTCAATAGTTCCGCAATGCAAATTGTATAGGCGCATCATTCGATTGATTGGGCTATTTTTTGCATAGTTTGTTCTGTACGATGTTTCTGAAAATAAATTCCGTGTTCTAAGATATCGACAAGGTGTGTAAAAATTTAATTGTGCGAGAATTTCTGCCGAATCTATGCGCATTGAAATAATGTCGTTGATGAAGAAAAGCATTGCAAATTGGCGGCGCTCCTTAAGTGTTTGTATATTGATGAGCATGCAGCGCGCTTCATAAGATGGTAATGGAAATGCAGTCCAATTCAATTTACGTAAAGCATATAAAAGGAATTGTTTTTGGACAGATTCTATGCGTTCTTCGTGTATGGAAATGTATGGATTCCATACTAGGTGGCAGTATTCCAGAATTGGCCTTACATATGTGGTATATAAAAGCTTAATAGTGTATGGGTCTTCGAAATTATGACTGAACCTTTTGATGAAGCCTAGCATTCTGTTTGCTTTACTAATGATAGTATTATAATGTTCTATAAAAGTTAGTTTGGAGTCTAGGATTACACCTAGATCTCTTACAATTTTGCTTTTTTCTACTATTTGGTTGCCTAATGATATTTCAATATGCGGTGTTTCAATTTTTCTGCTAAATGCTATTGCAGTACATTTTTTTACGTTCAGTTTAAGTAGACTTTATGATCCATCATCCAGGAAAAATTCTAGTAAATTTTCCCGGCTTGATGCCAAGAAGGAAAAAATTCCCCCTATTGTGATAACCACTTCCGATTTCCATGTTTTCACTGCAAATTGGCCGTCGGGGTGAATGCCGTGTATTGACTGAAACCTTGGACCGATTTAAATGTCTTCTCAAGTATCTTACTGAGAAGCTGCACACATTTTTTACTTACGACACCAAAACTGAACGTGTGTTCAAGGTTGCCATGAAATGACTGCCCAGAGGTGAATCCCTAGATCAGATCAAAGATGAGCCGGCAAAATTACTTGGAGTTGTGCCACTCCAAGTAATCAAAATGAAAATGAAATCCCGTCCTGGCGATTCGCTCAACGGCATTTCTAATGATTTTTATTTAGTTCACTTCAAGTCTAGTGAACTAAACGACCTTAAGGCCTTAGAAAAAAACTAGTCTTATGCTCCATGTCCGAGCGAAGTGAGAACACTTCAGGAAGACTGGAGGAAATTTCCAAAACCTCACCCAGTGCCGTAAGTGCCAGGGATGGGGCCACGGAACTAAAAATTGCTACATGCCAGCTAAAGTGCATGAATTGTGGTGGTTCCTCTCAAGCAAAGGACGACTGTCCTAAGAAGGAAGATCCTAAGACATTTAAATGTTCAAATTGTGGTGAAAACCACAAACCCAATTTGTGGGAATGTAAGACTCGCAAAGCGATCCTACAATCTCGTTATAAGCGACAGGAAAGAAACGCTCCACGTTTCCGATCAGGTACACATTCCTCTGCTGTTAACAACGGTCAGCGAGGAACAAATTCAACATTCGTACCCGTAGGTACAAATATCACCCCTACTTCAAATTTTTCATCTATACCTACCCCCTCGCTGCCAACAATTTTTAGCGATTTAATGGAGCTTCCAATGCTGCTATTACAGCGGGTAGAAATCAAAATACTAACCAACGGAATTCTAACTGAAATTTTGACAATTTTGACTTAGGAAGCATTACTGTCTCTAAAATGGAGAATTTTTACAGAAATCATTAATTGACATGATTTCTGATATGCTTAAATCTAACTCCATGTTTGATGCTATTCAAACTGGAGTAAAATTTGCAAACAATATTGTCATGACTTTGAAATTTAGTAATGGTAAAGCATTAAATAATTTTAATAGGAATGCTCGATCTCTTAGAGATAATGAAGACGAGCTATTTAACTTTTTGAGAGTTCATAACGTGCATTTTGCCGTTATAACTGAAACGTTCCTTAAACCTGACCATAAGGTTAAGAAGGACACAAATTATTTCATTTATAGAAATGATCGTCTTGCTGGAGCCTGGTGTTGCTATCATTGTTCATAAACAAATCAAATATAAAATTCTTTCTTCATTTGAAACCAAAGTTTTTGAAACTTTGGGAGTTTCTGTTGATACAAAATTTGGACAACTTACGTTTATAGCTGCCTATTTGCATTCCAATGCGTAGGCCAGCAAAAGAATTTTCTCAAGGGTGACCTCCAGAAACTCACCCGTCATAGGTCTAAATTCTTCATTATTGGGTGGAGGCGAACCAGCCCCAGGCTGAAAGCCTCCCTAATAAAGATAAATAATAATAATAATTCATTATTGGTGATTTTAATGCAAAACACCGCTCATGGAATAATGCTCAAAGCAATTCCAATGGTAATATTCTGTTTGATGATTGTTCTGCATGTTATTACACTATTCAATATCCAAACAGCCCAACATGTTTTTCTTCAGCAAGAAATCCCTCAACTATTGATTTGGTCTTAACTGATTCATGTCAACTTTGTAGCCAATTGCCCAACTAACAATTTTAGCTGCAG